ATTTTCATAATTTTCACAACTTACACAGGCACATGAGGTCACCAGTGCAGCAGGCATATGGAATATGAAAAAGCTTACATTTGGCGGATGGAAATATTGGCATTAAATTGACTTTGTCCGGCGAAAAGATGACCTGAACACTGACGTGTACGTTGTGGCATTATAGAAGTTGTGGCATTACTTTACTCTGGCATTACATGGCTTGCCCACCCACATCCCTCTGATCTCGATATAAATTGTATAAAATGTTTTAAGAGAATGAAACATTTTCTTATGAACTTACATGCTTTCTTTTGATAAAATATTGAATATAATCGAATGTGTATAACAGAGAAATTATAGTTAGCTTCAAGCTGACACTTAATGAGATTAGCACTTAAACGTTACTAATAATCACCACTGAGTGTTTGTAATAACTTCTGACTGCGATCCAATGTGGATTTTGGTCAAACGATGAGACAGAAATATATTGTTAGTAGGCTAACATTTTAGAAGTATTTTATGGGGAAGATATGCAACTTATGTGGGGCGTGAAAAAAAAGTAATAGTGTAACTAATTACTGTTGCCAGAAAGTAATAAGTAAAGTAATAATATTACTTTTGAAAGGAGTAAATAGTAATAAGTAATATATTAAATTTTTTAAGTAACTAGCCCAACACTGCTGCCGATTCACGACCAATAACTCTTGAGCTGATTCTTTTTAGTGAATCAAAAACATGCAGGGCGACCGGAGTAGTCTGATTCTTGAAAAAATGAATCGGAATGCCGATTATTTTAACAATTAGCTGAACGTTTTCATTATTGTGATGTTCTGAATTTAAATGAAGAAGGCTTTGTGGCCATGCCACATAAAAGAATACTCTCTGAAAAGTTATACAGTAGATGTACACGAACACACTTACACTCACGGATCCCTGCATCATTCAAACAGACAGAGATCATGATCCCATTTAGCTAAATGTGTGGGCTGTCTTCAGCCATCAGACTCTCAGAGTCAGACATTACTGATGAGGCTGTAAAACACTAAAGACACAGAGCACTGGAGTCCTCTGTCTTATTAACTGTCAGTAAGTGCGAGCTATTTTATGAACATGAGCATAAGAAAGAATAACTGCCAGGAGAGTTGTCTTAAAAGAAAAGTTCGTCCAAAAGTTATAATTCTGTCATCATTTAGCCTATGTTGTTCCAAATGCATAGGCTTATGTTGTTATTTTCCCCATGTTACAGAAAAAATATAAATTTTTGTTAGGCAGTTCATTTAATGGAGCCTGTCGAGATACAAATGGGACCTAAAATCCATGTTTATAAAATATATTTTTAGAAGACTCTGAATACGGCTGATAGAATGGCTCGTAAATATGAAAACGTTTAATGAAACAATAAGACTTGTTGTTTTTTAACTAATCAATTCAATGCCTTGGTCATAACCAGTGTTGGGGGTAACACATTACAAGTAACGCTAGTTACGTAATCAGATTACTTTTTCAAGTAACTAGTAAAGTAACGCATTACTTTTTAATTTACAAGAGAATATCTGAGTTACTTTTTCAAATAAGTAACGCAAGTTACTTTTTTTTCCAATTTATTGATTGACAGCTCGCCTGTCCTCATGTTGAGAGAAATCAGAAGATGTTACATATTTATATATATTAAAATAAATATGGATATGCATTAATTCATCTCACTTACAAAAAAAACACACAGATTCAGTATTCCTCAAAATGAATAAAAAATATTTATATATATTAAAATAAATATGAATATGCATTAATTCATCTCACTTACAAAAAAAACACACAGATTCAGTATTCCTCAAAATGAATAAAAATAATGCAACTCAGAATATGACGCAAATCTGCAATAATTAAATGTTAAACAACACAAATATCCTTTATGTATTTAATCCCATTCTATTAACTAATGTCTTTGCTTCTGACCTTCGATGATCCAGTTCAACCATACTAATAAGCAAAATTAGTTAAATAATTAACTAATTACTCTAGACAAACATTTGTGTGTCTTTTTTTATTGCTGAAGTGTGTTGAAATTTCTTCTTCTGCATTCTACTGTACAGGCGTAAATTTACTTTCCCTTCAGCCTGAGGCTTATTCATTTCACTCTTGGAGTGAAAAGGCTTTTATATTTGCCAAAAACATCACTTTTTTATTTTAAAAACAAACAAGCAAGCCCTGTATACAGATAAAAAGTAATGCAAAAGTAACGTAACACATTACTTTCCATAAAAAGTAACTAAGTAACGTAATTAGTTACTTTTTTATGGAGTAACGCAATATTGTAATGCATTACTTTTAAAAGTAACTTTCCCCAACACTGGTCATAACACATAAAATATGCTACATTTGTCGCCACCTACTGGGGTAAATATGCAATATGAAGAAATGGTCACTGAATAAGTCACTGGCATGAATCTCCTCATCACTAATGGCAAAACAAAAATCTTCTTTTGTGATTAGTAAATGGACCCTTTTCACAAGACTGTGATGATGCGTTTAACGGTCATCAGCATCGTAAATACTAGAACGTTTTTCATATTTGTATTTTTTTTAATGTATCTACATTTATAACACTATTCTTTGTATTATATCACCTTTGCATCAAATTACAAAAAACAGTTAACGCTAATGCCAGGGTGTTTGTAATGCAGCGTCTATGGAAGGGACGGTAAATTTGACATCGTTCTCTCTTCTGACAGCCGTTATCAGTCTCTCTCAATTTTTTCCCTTTTATTGAAAGTCATCAAAACGCTATCATGGAGTTTTTCTTTTGCTATTTGAGCAACTGGGAATGCAAAAAATATATTTGTGATGCTCTCCCAATCACTGCTCTTCAAGTTTACCCAACTATGACGACTTCCGCTGCTGAGAAACCCGGAAATGTGAAAAAGGTCTACTTCTACTTCTACTTTACTTCTGAGTAAACTATTAGGCCTACTGTAAAGCACATCATAATGCAAACCATGTAGAGAAGTTGAAGCAGTTGAAGTGGGTGAACATCGGCAGTATAATGGCCACTGAGTGTGAGAGTGGGTGTCTGTATATGATTCTGTGTAGGAGGAGCTCAGCTTTGCCTGAAGATGTTGGCAAAAGATGGATCAAGAGATAAGGCAATTTTCCAGCTGAGAGGAACAGAGAGAGAAGCTCAATCCCCGGAGAGAGAACAGACAATACATCACAACACAGTGAAACAGGTTTTGTAGTGTTTGCAGAGACTTAATTCAGTCTGAGAAACAAATGAAACTTATAGAGACCTACGTAGATACCTTGATAATAATGATTATTAAACACCATAAATTAAAGGACACACAAACAGATGGCAGTGTTTATCTGATATTTAAATCTATAGTTTAGGTTTATTTTTTGTCCTAGTTCTGTCACTGACCCCTACTGTTCGACTCAAAGAGGATTTAAAAACAGGTCAGTCTACAAATCCTTTGAGTTTATACTCTTTAAAGGTGAAGTGTGAGATTTCTGCCCTACTGGTGTTTTATGAAAAGTAAGTATTTGATAAGAAAGTGCAAAAAATAATGCCAAATTAGTCATTATTGAGATGCAGATAAATAGGATAAATACGTGTTTGGGATAGGAGACAATCTTTTAATATCTAAAAAAATTACACATTTCACCTTTAAGAATAATCCAAATGAGTAAGTAAATGAGTCAAACCAGTTACAATTTTTATAAATCCGATAAAGCAACAATTATAAGAATTAACATAATTATTTGCTGTAAATAATCTACTAAGGGGGGAAAATGTGATATTGCATCCCTTCAACTAAAATTACACATTTCACCTTTAAGAATAATCCAAATGAGTAAGTAAATGAGTCAAACCAGTTACAATTTTTAAAAAATCCGATAAAGCAACAATTATAAGAATTAACATAATTATTTGCTGTAAATAATCTACTAAGGGGGGAAAATGTGATATTGCATCCCTTCAACTAAAAGCTACAAGTCAATTCCCAATTATGTACTGAAGATTTGTTATATTGATTCACCTGATATGCACAGACTTGCACAGATGCACCTTCTCCTTTTTCGACACACTTTAAATCACACAATGTTCTGCCAGTTAAACCACATATAGTGTATTTGTCACTATTGTGTCTGCACTGCATTCTATGTCTTCTCCACTGAATTTCATCACATAATCCTACGTGATCATGTCATGTGACCCAAGTTTGACTTTACAGCTTCACTTTCTTTGTTAATATAAAGCTAACTGTGAATCAGCACTTGCATGGTGTCCCCCATTCCCAAAAATCCTGTGACCTAAAAGGAAAATATGGTGGAAAAGAGAAGTGCACAGTTTGGTTTGACACATACTGTTCCTGCTCAAGGACATTCTGTATCCTACACTGCTTGATACTCTTCACCGGATATGCAGCAGCAGTCCAGGTCACCTGCCAAGAAGTTAAGCTGAGCACACTTAAAAGCAGCTTACTGTCTTTATCAGATCATCTGTGTTTATGTGCTTGTCGGCAAACCAAAATACCCAAAGAAAGTCGCCCTCTTTATGGCCTTCCGATTTTCCATAGTATTTCAGCCTTATATGCTGTTTCGTTCCTAAAATCATAACATTATAATGTTTAGTGTGGGTAACTTCTAAATTTTCAGGCTTAGGCATCAATTAAACCGAGAGTTATGTGGCTTATATGAAAAGACCTCCTTGATTTTGTTAACATACCATGTTAATGAGGTATTTCATGTACATCACTTTTTAAATACAAACCAAAAACTGTCCATATGGTGAAACTCACTATTCAGATCACTGCCATGTGCCATGCACGACAAACACCATGTGAAAGAAATAATCACATAATTCTCTTCTGATCTTATTAGATAAGGCAAACCTCCCACAGAGCTCCCAGAATGCCCTGCTCTTTGATCTCAGCAAATGACTGGACAATAGAAATCAAATGACTGGGCAACAGAAATCTGCATGTTTTTACAATTAAGCAAGTTTTATTCACAATAACAAACACTACGCACCAAACACCATTCTAATAATGTCAACTTTTCTTACAAGTAATTTTACAAAAAAGTTCTACACAAATTCTACACTGTTTACATAGACACAATTAGAATTGAAATAAAATAATTACAAAAAATTACAGGTTTGAGCATAGAGTTTCAGTCTCTGGCGTGGGACGTTTCTTGGAGTAATTGTGCGGATGTAAAAGCACAGGAGCTCCGAGCAGTGGGAATGCAGAAGTCACAGGTCAGGGTTTAGCTGCCAGTCTTAAGCTGTCTCCTCAACTCCAGGGGCCTTCTCAAGCATCCCCGCACCCTGTACCTGGTTCTCCCTCTGTACCATAGCGCATATTGGGGCCTCAAATGTTGCTATTCTCCTAAACCTGCAAAATCAGCTTTTAGTGCTCATGAAATCATGTGTTATCTGACGCTGAACATAGCAGTGTACTCATCATCAGACAGGTCACAAAAATATATTTACATTTTTTAATACCCTTTCCCAATTCACAATCCCGGTACTTCAAAAAATAACTTTTATTTTTTTTTTTATAAAGCATTACTTTAAAATAAAACAAAACATCTAACTTCTTGTCTCTTTATCCATCTGTCAAAAGTATGTGCACTCTCACTTGCACACATTTCATACCTAAATCCACAAGGGTGAAAAACACCTGTCTAGCTTCTTTAAAAGGTGATTTAAAAAGTGTTTTCTTTTCATTTGTCATACCTGTCATATGACACATGGTGTTGTTTACTCCTAATAAATAGAAGGACTCGGTGTACTGAGGCTAGTTTCCATATTTATATCTTTCACACTATTCCAAATCCCTGACAAGCCATTCTTAGGTTGAATATCAACTCAAATATTAAATAAAATATGACTATAAAATTGTTTAGAGTTTATGTAGCAAAGTACAAAGTCAAAGGAAGAAGCAAAGCTGGCAAAAATGACATTTTGATTGATTATATTTAAAGCCATTCTTTACAAGTCAATCATTTGGATATTAATGTGTTTTTTTTTGGGTAATTTCACCATAATATGGAATTCTAACATACTTACATACTATCATAACATACAAACATACAAAAGTTTGTATTTAGATTTTTTTTCTTCACCAGTTCCTCATTAATTGGCTTTGTCTACACTTTACGTAGTGTGAGTGATATAGTTACAGTTTTAGGCTGTGTCCCACAGCTCTCTACCTCAGGTAGGTGTGGCCAAAGTCTGGTGGGCGGGGCTCGCTCAGCTCACAGTGGCAACAGCCTCTTCATTTGCCTCCTCGTCCACTTGATTGCCTTTGCCCATGGCCTTCATGTTAGCCATGATGTCAGTGAAGGTCTCTTTGACAGTTTTCTCCAGGATCCAGCCCTCGCTCTCACTCTCAGGGTCTTCTGGGTTGACCAGTGTGGACAGAGAGGTGTTTACGTACTGAAGTCCAATCATTACAGCAATCTAAAGCAAAACATGAAAGATATGTTTTTTTTAATCAAATGTATAAAATGTTCTACATTTCCAGTTGGTGATTTGAAATCACCTTTTCCAAGAAAGCAAGATTTAGCTCCACCCTACAGATTAGAACCTTTGATCCCTGTGAATCTTCAGTGTCACCACGCCATCTCACACTCCTAATCTCCACCACACCTAGTTCAAGGTCTTGTTGTTGCTACTGCATGTCGTAAGCCTGGCAGATTTCGTTCAAAACAATGTTTTTAGATTATTTCCATCTTTTTGGATGGAATGTTTTTGGATTATTTCCAAGTCTCAAATGTATATGCAAACTATGGGTAACTTAAAAATGTGCTTCATGTATCATCCAAATTAACTATTTTAATTGAATTATTTTCCATTTATTATTTTAAAAATAAATATTAGGTACACTTCAGATCAGGTAAAAAGAGTCCCTTAAGGTAATAGCCGCTGATTCCTGAATCATGTAGTTTAATTTATCCTAGAATGTCAATCAATATTTCAGTATTACTACAAGGTAGTCAAACACTGTATTATATTTTAAGCAATGTAGATGTTTTCCATGATAGTGCCATGTTAGGTGATTGATTGAGGGAACAAGGCTCCCCTCAGTAAACATAGTATGATGACATACAAACATTAGCTATTACGCCTCTAACCAGCCTTCATTTTGCACTGATAAGAAGTACAGGGTTTAAATCATTCCCCAAATCTGTAGCCAAAACAATGTGTAGTTATTATTTACCTTATTAGGAGCAGACAACAAAACACCTTGTAATGGCAGGATTTGAACTGTTTACAGGATTAAGTATCCGAACTGGACAAAACGTACCTTAAGTACTGACCAGAGATCAGTTTGACCTTTATAGCACAATCTATTAAGATTAGAAGAACGTAATGTATGTGTTTAAAGTCTGAACCTGGATCGGCACATTACGATATTTCAAAGCTAAACATCTTACTTGCAAGAGGGTGACCATCAGCACAAGTATCCCAATAGTGTTCATCATTCCGCCATAGTAGGACACCAGAGCGTCTCGGCAGCCACGTTTCCAGATGTTTAGCTCTTCGGTGTAGTGGTCATAGCTGTAGTGAGCCGAGTTGTTGGTTATTTGCTGTTGGATGCAGGGCCGTGGAGAGCTAGGGTTGCAGCAGCTGAAGGGAACTCCATCCATTAGGTATTTTCCATCCACATTGCTGCTGATCCGGCTAAAGACGAAAAGTTTTGCAAATATGCTTTAGTTTATTACTTCCGTATTTCTATCAAAAGCCATTAAATAACTCTTTGATATTAATGCACAAGTGTTCGTCAAGTAATTTCAATGTCTATTCCAAGCCAATCTACCAGGTATTCAACTAAATGAAAGGGACAGTAAGCTCTGGGGGCAAGAAAATGTGATCCAAGAAGATTAGCGACTAAATCTAAACTGGCTAACATGCCTGATACCACTTACACTGCAAATTGACCCCTGTGAATTGCCCATTCTCTCCCCTTACTGTAAATTGCTAAATAATTGTGTAAAAATAAATAAATAAATAAAGTCATTATAAAAACTTCCACAACAAACTATTGCTATCATTTAAAAGTTTTAAGTGTCTAAAATTAAATTTCTCTCAACCCGTTATCTGAATGTCTAAACTATATCTGAACAACATGAAATGAAAAGAACTGAAAGAAAACAATGTTTACATTTAAGTGTCACATCCATTAAGAAAAAAAACACTCACTCTTTGACTTCCTTGGAGCTGAAGTCCAGGTACCGGTTGCTCACCCACTGGATCTCGAACCAATCTTTGTAGTTGTTGTTGCCACAGCAGCGAAACTCTATCTGCATGAGATCCAGAGTTCTCTTCATGTAGCAGCGTCCAGGTGTATCGGTGTCCTTGTAGTACTTCATTCCATTTTTCAGGCCCTCAGCAAGTGTAAACTCTAGAGGAATGCGCATGGCAAAACACATAGCCGCTGTGACAATGAGGAGGAAGTTGAAGAACAAACAACAAATGAGAAAGGGCTTCAAAATGGACTTCCATTTCACAAACTTGGTGGAGTCGAGCGAGTCGTAGCAGATTTTGCCTCCACAGGCATTGAGAAAACATGCCAAAAGACCCACACCAATTAGAATGTTGGGTACAAAATGACTCTCATTGTTGTCCATAAGTTCGCTTCTCTTGCGCAGTTCAATTTTAAAGAAAAGGCCCATGCTGAAGACCAGCACTCCGGCCATAATGGAAAACCAGTACATGAGCCATAGCATCTGGGCCAGCTTCACCCGTTTCTTCAGGTCAAACTTTACCTTCATTAGAGCCATGATTATCAACTAGTTAAAGTAAAAAAAAAAAGTCCTTTCAGAGTTTGGTGATCTCCAAAGACAGCTGTGCAATGTAGCTTAGAGAAGTTGAACGTTGAAAGTACGTTCAAGGCGCAATGTGTAATCCATTCCAGTAAAGCGAGAACTTGTTAGCTACTTTCATGATGATCTTCGCACCCATAATAGACTAAGTCCAACTCATGTTCTTCTAAAGATAAACACCAATGTAATACATTATCTTTACGATCTTAAAAATGGATTTTCATCTCAATAATTAAAACAGCAGTGTCCTCAGGTACTGACGCAAATAGTGGTGCCCCTCTATCTGCAAAGGGAGGACAAAAGCCAAGGATCCAAATGATTAAACACAAAGTTACTGTACGTCATCCTAAACCCAGCTAATCACCCTCATCCCATTTACAGAAATCCCTGGCCAGTAGATGAGCCTATCTGTAAGCTCCTGCCGTGGCGTGTGATTGGCTTGATTGGTCAGACGGTATGATTGGCATAACTACAGAGACACCAAAAACCAGGAGGCTAAGACTTAAGACCACTACACTTCTACTTCCAGGGTCTTTGAGTTCATGACAAACATGCCACTGTTTGAGAGGATCTCTACATTTCTCGAAGTTGAAATATTCATGGAACTGATGATAGTCAAAACCCTAACACTTTACAATTTGTTAACATTAGTTAATGCATTAGCTAACATGAACTAAGAATGAAGAATATAATTCTACAATGTTTATTAGTCTTTGTTAATGTTAGTTAACACAATTATTTAGTGCATGAACTAACATTAACAGATATGACGATTTTAAGAATTTATTAATGTTGAAATGAACATGAACTAATAAATTCTTAAACATTAATAGTCTAGAAGTATCGTTAAACAATGTAAGCATGTTAACTAATTTAGTCAAATGAATCCTTATTGTTAAATTTGACCCACAAAACAATAATAGTCAAATAGTAAAAAAATAGCCTACAGAACTTCATATTCAGATAATGATTGTACTTGTATCAAAGACTACAGCCAAAGGTCGCATTATTTACTGTATTAGAGTACCCAAATATAACAGACCACTTCTTGCAATTACATTTAAGAGCTATCATTTTTAAAATATTAAATGAAAACCCCATCTGTATGCATTATTTTGCATATAATACACAAAAGCACCAAAATTAAGATCTGTATAGCATTTTCCATAAAGCTTTTATGTTGAAAGATAGGAAACAACTCAACAATTTGTTACCAAACAAAAATTCACATTTCTTCAGGTTAATCTACGAAAAAATGTCTGAACAATAGTAACAGAATTAAAAGGATTTCACCCAAAAATGAAAACTGTTGTCATTCACTCAACCTCATGTCCTTCCAAACCTTGAATGCATTTCTTCTTCTTCCAAACACACACAAATAAAGATATTTTGAAAAACGCTAGTAGCCAAATAGTTGTATTATATTACATTAACTTCTGCAGGTTTGGAATGACATGAATTCGATGACAGAATTGTAATTTTTGGGTGAACTATCCCGTTAACATTGATTTTATTTAATGATTCTGATTATTAAATGCATAGACTTGGCAAGTGAATCACAAATAAACACAAATGTGATAAAATCAGACTTTATTTTGTTATACAGCCTTCTATTTATTATTAATTATTAATCAAATCAATTAATTTGCCAGTAGGAATTCTAGAACCTTCTATGTTTATGGGATCTCAATTTTAGCGTCATATTGACTGAGCACACAATAATGCAATCAGATCATTACTGTTAGGATGCTTGTTCCACAATATCCCAACTACATATTCTCTCAGTCTCAGGAATGACAGTCCAGTTGGGTGAGGGTGTGCCAGCAGCAAGCCAATTGAAATCATCCACCTCTGTCCAATTATTCCTGTTTGGATCAAGTCCAGCCACTTTGAAATGATCATGAATCCCTGGATAAGTCCATGTGAATGGGGCAAACCGGACCCCATGACAGTCCTCTATAATTGCCCGGCTGGTCACATGCAGATATATCTGAGTGGCAGTGGTGTTATGGGTGCGCAGCTGCTGACAGGGGAATACTAAAGTGCTGTCAGTGCACTGGTCTACAAAAACAGAGCTGGACACTGGCCCGCAGAGGATCTCGCAGCCGCGGACGTTCTTGATGTGCACAGTGCTCGGACAGCCATAAAGCCTGACTTTACAGTTTGTCAGATGAGATAACAGAACATCTCGTTGCTGGATCTCTTCAGCTTGCTTGATTAAGACTTGATTGTCGGCATTAGAGAATCCACACTGGTCTACAGAGACAGCAGCATCCACCACTACAGTACCAGCCGCATCAGATGTTTGTTGAATCGGTGCAGGCTGCTTACTTGCTCCAGTGTTCCTGGATCTAAAGGCGAATTTCTTTTTAGGCAACACCTCATCTCTTTTCTCAGCAAGAGCGCTCTGGAGATTCTGCAGGGATGCTTGCGCCTGTCTTATTTCATACTGGGTTAGAAACATCATGCTGTCATTGAGAGACTTCAGGAGCTGTTGAATTTTCAAAGTGGCCTCTTCCAGTGTTTTTGCGGCTTTGCCATTATCATTATCGTTACAGCTGGAAAGCATCTCCTCGACTGCTGTCTTCTCAGCTTTAAAGGTGGACGTGAAGAAATCGCTCTTTTCTTCCGTCACGGTCTGGCTCTCCTTGACGTTTCTCCGGCGCTCTGCCTCCTCCAGCCTCGCCTGATCCCTTAGTAACACACGTTCGGGAACTTTGACAGCTGTATTTGTTTCTCCATCATCATTCCTCACATTAACTTCCACTCCCAGTGCCGCCATGTTGTTTCTCAAAACAGGCGTGGTGAACGCACGTCAAAGTGTGCTTCTCAATGATTGGACTAAGAATCAGTACCGTTAGTAATGCGGCGTTCTATTGGCGCATTAAATGGTCACGTTCACAATAAACTTATGACTGTTTTCCCATACATAATTTAAATGATGGAGTAGTTATTTATCACTTTGTTTAGACTTCTTCTGTCATATCCATATTTAATTAGTTATTGATTTTTAATTTATGTTAAATGTATTAGTTTACAGCATGTTTATAAAAACAATTGTGTTGATTTATTTCTTTTAGAATTGCAAGATGACTTGACTGTATTATTGTTATTTTTTATTATTATTATTATTATATCCCTCACAGTTTAGTTTATATTGATTATCTGTTGAATTTTATACATGTTCAGTGTATGCATTGTAAACCAGCAGGGTTATTATTATATTTTGCATTTTAATTTATATTTAATTTAGTTTTATTTAAGTTTACTCCATTGCTGTTAGTTTCATTTTCATTTTTATCATGCTTTTATTTTATTTTTTTGATTATTTCGTTTAATTAGTTTTAAAATGACTACAAAGTAACACAATTTTTGTTCGTTTTGAAGTGATGAAAATGTGTCAATAAATTATAGTCGATTTTTATTTTAGATTTTAATGTTTTAATTTAGTTTTCGTTATTGATAACATTTAAAGCCTCGCTGTGGCAACAATCTCCTATATTTTACATACTCAGATAAAGGATCAAATGAGGTATTGTTTACTGTATTTGCTTCGGGTGGACACTTGTGGGTGATGTGTGGTCTCTCAGGACTCAAAGGTGTGGTCGTTGAGGACTCCCCGCCCCCTGTCGCTTGATACAAACACAATTCTTATTCATTTATTCATGTCAGGCATTTCGAATGATTAATCAAAACAACAGCTTTAACTTGTATTGTTGCAGAAGAAACCTTAATAGTAAACAAAGAGTTTAAGAGACCCCTTTTCGCTCAAGTAAAGAGCCCTATGGAGCGTAGTGCACTGTAGTGATGCTGCCGTCTGCTGGAGCCGCACTGCTCTCTATTGGCGCATTAAATGGTCACGTTCACAATAAACTTATGACTGTTTTCCCATACATAATTTAAATGATGGAGTAGTTATTTATCACTTTGTTTAGACTTCTTCTGTCATATCCATATTTAATTAGTTATTGATTTTTAATTTATGTTAAATGTATTAGTTTACAGCATGTTTATAAAAACAATTGTGTTGATTTATTTCTTTTAGAATTGCAAGATGACTTGACTGTATTATTGTTATTTTTTATTATTATTATTATTATATCCCTCACAGTTTAGTTTATATTGATTATCTGTTGAATTTTATACATGTTCAGTGTATGCATTGTAAACCAGCAGGGTTATTATTATATTTTGCATTTTAATTTATATTTCATTTAGTTTTATTTAAGTTTACTCCATTGCTGTTAGTTTCATTTTCATTTTTATCATGCTTTTATTTTATTTTTTTGATTATTTCGTTTAATTAGTTTTAAAATGACTACAAAGTAACACAATTTTTGTTCGTTTTGAAGTGATGAAAATGTGTCAATAAATTATAGTCGATTTTTATTTTAGATTTTAATGTTTTAATTTAGTTTTCGTTATTGATAACATTTAAAGCCTCGCTGTGGCAACAATCTCCTATATTTTACATACTCAGATAAAGGATCAAATGAGGTATTGTTTACTGTATTTGCTTCGGGTGGACACTTGTGGGTGATGTGTGGTCTCTCAGGACTCAAAGGTGTGGTCGTTGAGGACTCCCCGCCCCCTGTCGCTTGATACAAACACAATTCTTATTCATTTATTCATGTCAGGCATTTCGAATGATTAATCAAAACAACAGCTTTAACTTGTATTGTTGCAGAAGAAACCTTAATAGTAAACAAAGAGTTTAAGAGACCCCTTTTCGCTCAAGTAAAGAGCCCTATGGAGCGTAGTGCACTGTAGTGATGCTGCCGTCTGCTGGAGCCGCACTGCTCCGCCGGCCCGTGCAGAGATGGCGAGGAAACCCCGTGGACACGGCACCGCTTTCTCATGACGGTGAGTTTCCCCTTTGAGTGTATTATAATTTTGTGATAAAAATTTCAAGGAAAAAACACACACAACCTCCTTCCTCCCCTTCCTTCGGGGAGGGAAGAGCAAGCGTGGAGAGAGAAAAATCTATCTGAGACTGAGCAGCAACGACAGTGAGGGAAAATATATGAGTAGGAGAGGGAGAAAGAGGAAGAAGAAGAAGAAGGAGGAGGAGGAGGAGGAGGGGGAGCAAATTAAAAGTTGCCAAATGGAGATATTGGGTTTCAAGAGGAGTGAGACAGGAGTAAGGGTTTGCCTCTTATTCAAGTCGTCTTTATGTGATGCAAATTCAAATAAATATTTATGCTTCGCCAACGATTTGTTCTCCGTTCGGTTTTTGCTCGACGAATTCAGCCGTTTCTTAATAACGTTAGGTGGGGGAACGTCCACAACGTCAAGAAGGCCATCATCAATGAGCGCGTAGGACTCGCCTGATGATCCGCTTTTACCCCCTTCGCAAAACCTACGACACCCGCGCCGGTGTGAAACGAGCCGTCCGAAGCCGAATACGCGTTTCTTCGTGCCGCCTGTCCCGCTCGCGCTCCCCGGCTGTCACAGATGCGCAGATACGCTTTTAGAAGAGCATCTGCGACTAAACGAGCCTCTCCAGCCTCGGTCTATTTATGGACAAAGTCCCTGTGTGTTTCTAGCTGTTGGTTTCAGCGAGATTAAGGCGGGTTTTGTGCGTCCTGCCCTTGCGCCACGGAGAGCCTTTAGTCCTCCCTGCCACCGTTTGACAAGTGAATCAGTAAAATGCGTCGCCTTGCCTCGACAGGGTTTTACTGTGTATTTTGAGGGGTTGCTGGTTTTCTACGCGTCTCTTTTCCGCCCCTTTGACTTAACAGGCAAAAAGGATAGATAGGTTTTTTTATGTTAGAGAGGAAGAAAAAAATAAATTCATCTCCTCCCTCATTTGGTTTGCTAACTTGACTACAGCCTAAACGAATACAAGTGTTAAAGAGATCTCTCACATTTAGTACATCGTTTAGTTGATAAAACCCGTATTTGCATGTATAAGAACGATTAAAAAATATATATATATATATTGAAGTCGAGATGTAAAAGGGCCGGATTAATCTGTCATACTTTTTTTTCTTCGTACAGATTGCACTACACGGATATCGCTAGCTTAGTCTTGCAAGTTAGAAAATGTTAAAAGTTTTGAATATAAATACTAGCATATATACGATCTTAATATTAAGCGGTTATATGTATTGACTAATCTTATCATTCGTTCGAATCCATTTATAACATCTATAGACTGTTCGATCATTGAGTTTCTTTTTCAGGTCCTGTGTGTATGTTTTTAAATTATGAAATAAAGGCTAACTTCGCCATTTTGGATTGCTGCAAGCTCATTAAGCTGTTTTTAACAACATGTTGTTATATAATACATACACATGAATGCTGTTCAAACATGTAATCACTTTGGAAAAACACAGACAGATTTCATTCCCTCACTAGCCTTAACCATAAAGTGTGTTATAAAACATTAACAGAAGCTTGTGAAGTGTGAGTGAACAATCAAACCGGCCAAACATGTTACACCCATCCCCCACGTCGCTTCCTTTGTCACGTTTCCACACATGCATTTTCAAGTTGTTCACATTCCTATGGCAACTTTACAAAGAAATATGATCTGAAATTAAAGTCGAGTAGCATTATACCACTGCACAAGTACTCTGCGTCATATTGTCCTTTGTCTGTCGGCTGTAGCGAGCAGTGGCGCAGTCTCAATCACCAGCCGCCATTTTGAAGTCTCTATAGGCTGCAGCAAAGAGTACAGCCACTCTTTCTGTTACACACTTATGTATTTTTAAACATAATATGGCAACTTTACAAAGAAATATGATCTGAAATTAAAGTCGAGTAGCATTATACCACTGCACAAGTACTCTGCGTCATATTGTCCTTTGTCGGCTGTAGCGAGCAGTGGCGCAGTCTCAATCACCAGCCGCCATTTTGAAGTCTCTATAGGCTGCAGCAAAGAGTACAGCCACTCTTTCTGTTACACACTTATGTATTTTTAAACATAGAAATCATATTCGCATTTAAATAAAAGTACCATGTATATTAGACAGTTTTACTGTTCAAACATGTTTATGTGTTTGGTGACATATCAAACAGTTTATTACTGTTTAGTACACAGTAATAATTAGTAATGTGCTATTTTTTTGTTTTATATTTCTTCTTCTTTGAAAATAGAATAATGTCAGAGGGTGCCACATCATGAACTACTTATAAAGTATTAATTAACTTGTGTTTGTCACACCATTACATTGTTATCATAGAGTTATTTCAAAAGCCTGACATTGCCCATAGTTTAGTTTGGCCTATTAATATATCAAATATATTATTGTACCTCAATTTAATATTATACATTAATTCGCAACCTATGCTTGAAATGACAAACTATGCCTGAGAATGTTCATTGACAAACTGGGGTTCCTGACAGATTACATAGATTTGATTTTGTTTAGAACATTATACACGCTACATTTATTGGATCCTTCAGATGTAGCCTATTCAGAACAAATTAATATACAAATTATATCTTAGCGTAGTCAAAGTCAGGGCTGGGTTCAAATTTAACGAACCTGTACTTTGCTGAGTCCATTGAAAAATCTCAAAATCTGTAATTACTGTGTCACAGGTGTCATGGATGATGAAGACGACCGCCGTCTTCTGGATTTTATAGGGTAAGCAGCATTACAATTGGATGATTACACTTTAAAAAGAGTTTTTATTTAGTTTGGCCTATTAATATATCAAATATATTATTGTACCTCAATTTAATATTATACATTAATTCGCAACCTATGCTTGAAATGACAAACTATGCCTGAGAATGTTCATTGACAAACTGGGGTTCCTGACAGATTACATAGATTTGATTTTGTTTAGAACATTATACACGCTACATTTATTGGATCCTTCAGATGTAGCCTATTCAGAACAAATTCATATACAAATTATATCTTAGCGTAGTCAAAGTCAGGGCTGGGTTCA